AGCGATGATGATGGATAAATGGGGTTAGTTATGATAGTTGTAGGATTTTTGTAGTAATAGGAGAGGCTGTCAACCCAATAACCCATTACGTGTTCTTGGGAATTCTTTGTGAAATGTAGAAATTTTAGACTTCTTTAAGCATGAAGTTATTTGGGCCAAATTTTCAAACCTTTTATAGTAAATGCAATATGATTCAATAAGAAAATTCAATCTGTAGGCCTGTAGCCCATTAGTCGTTGCAACTTTGACCCACCATTTCACTCCTACTTCTCTCCTCCACCGCCTCTTGCCATTGATACCTGAAGCTTCAACCTTCATTCAACGTTACCAATTCATTACAAGTTCTTAAGCTACTCAATCGTTGAATTCCTCTTTCCTCAATTGCTAGGGTTTGTCTTCTTTCATTTTTCTCTCTCAATCTTCATTTGAATTTGATTAATTAATTTGCAAATTTTACAAGTTATTCATATCGATTTTGATTTTTGCTCAAATGTTTGATGTCTTCATTTGATGATTAAACAAGTTCTTTTTATTTTTATTGCCTAATTGATGGTTATTATTTTTTATTCACCAAACATACAGTTGTTGTATTTATATATGGAGTACCAAAAATTGATACTTTAAATTCTCAGTGTGCAGGTGTAATTGGCCTATTGTGTGTGTTAATTTGAAAAATGGGAAAGGCTAAGGGTGGTGCAATATTCATCAGGCTTGTCTCGTCGGCTGGTACTGGATTCTTCTATGTGACAAAGAAGAACCCTAAGAAGGTTCCAGAGAAGCTTGAGTTCCGTAAATTCGATCCTCGTGTTAATCGCCATGTTTTGTTTACTGAAGCCAAGATGAAATAGGCAAGATAATGATACTGCATTTTTTTTGTTTAATGCCATGCTTTTATTTTGTATTGGCTGATGGTGATAACCAAAATTAATTCAAAGTTAGGAGTTTTAATTGTGATTTCCAGTTATAATTTTTAATACAAAGTACTATAACTTAGTTTGCAGTGCATTTTTGTTTGGAATTCTGATTTCCTTCATCGTTTTTGTTTAGATACAATTTTGAGTGAGGCCTTAGCATTGCATCCTTTCATATTTGTCGTCCCTCAATCGAGTTATCTGATAGAAGTGATGGAATGTCATTTGATTTATTGTAGTTTTTCTGATTGTTGCTCACTGTTGTAGATACTGAAGTTACTGGTTAGACTTGGAGAGGTTTTTGCTGGAGTTGTAATTACAAATGATAAATGTCATCTCTACTTGTTAGCTTTTGGACATTACCCTCACCCTCACCTTTAGGCTTTGTCAATCGCGGTCTAATGCAAGCATTTTGCCCCTGAGCTCAAGAATTAGCTTGATAAATACAGTAGCTCTTCTCACTAGCTTAATTTAGGCCTAGTTTTTCTTTTATTTTAGTTTATGATGTTGAGTTTTGGGTAATAGGGGGTACTATCATTGATTTTATTATGAAGCGGAAAAGGAGAAATGTTAGGGCATACTAAAATTCCTAACTATAGAGTTAGGAGAGTGATCAACTACAGAATTATGAGATACATAAATCTACATCTTGGGGTAAGGTCTTTGGTGTGGGGTGGGTGGTTTAAAATTCTACTTTCCAAAATTAAGCTTTGTTCTTTCTGGCTAGATTTTCTAAGGAATCGGCTGCTTGATTAGTTTAGGCTCCTTCGTGCACAAGCTTAATATGCATGTGTTTTATTACTTTGAAAGTGAAATAAGGCTGAGAAGAAATTTGTAATTGTATTTGTTTTGGTGTGGGAGCTTGATGAAGTTATAAGGAGTGGTTAACCTTTTCTGTAAAATTTGCTGCCTTTGAAGTTTAAAGGAGTGGGTGTGGCATCCTTTGTATAGGGATTTGAGTGTAAAAATATGTTTGTAAAAAGGAAAAAAAAAAAAAAAAAAACAGGTTTATCAAGTTAAGCCTCCGAGTTCACTGTTCATCATCGTTGTACAGAGATAAATTAAATAAAGGGTTCTATGGTGACTTATGGGCATGGTTGCTTCTCTTTCTTCTTACTAGTTCAATTTTGCTAACGTTTTGCTGTTTATGATCACTTAATATGATATAGTTAGGTTGATCTGTATCCAGGGTTCAGCCTTGGGTTGGGTTTTTTTTTCTTGTCAATGTGTCATATAACTGAAACAATGTTTATTTAGTGTATTTAGTTTTTCTCATTTACTCCGTACTTCGGTACTTGTACATTGCGGGTAGTGCAGATTGCAATATTTGCTTGCCCACTCTAGGGATGTTGTCTTAATACAGAAAGTGGGTTGGGAATCTTGGGATGATGGATGGGAACAGTGAACATACCACTAAAGAAGCAGTATGGGACTATGCTTAGAAAGGTCATGCTAACTTGTTTGACCCATAAATTTACCTCCTAACTTGACCGCTCTCTCTCTCTCCTCCCGGCTTTAAGGCATCAGCCTTCAGCCCTAATGAGGTAATTGTTCTTTGTGCACTAGCTAAACAAGGCTGACAGAATGCAGATAGTTGGAAGGTCCAATCTCGAATGGGAGGATTGGAAAATGTAAGTTTGTTGGTGTTTTTGTGTGTGAGTTTGATTGTCAATAATTTGCTACAAGTGAAGTTTTAGTGGATGTGGCATTCTCTTTAATAGTGAGGAAGTGTAAGAAGTTTGATAAAAAAATTTCGCAGGTTCTTGGCTTTCATAACAAAATTTTCAACTCTTTGTCATACAGAGTAACTAACATGCTTCATTAATCTACTAACTTGCACACCCTTTTCAGTTTTTCTTCTACTACTTAGTTCTTCGGCCTTCCCCCAATTGGATTATATTGAATTGATATAATTTAAGATTGTGGTGATCACAAAGTAGTACTTCCTTCGTTAGGTTAATATTGCAACAAGGAGGAAATTACGCATCTCAAAACACATTTTATATACAAAATATCTATAATTGTGTAAGAGTAAAAATTATAAAAAGTTGATATTGTGAAAGTATTAAATGAGACGAATCAACAAGATCTCACTTGACTATATTTTGCTTAATGTATACTCAAATTATATGGTCAAACAAGAGTGATAAATAGTGCAAAAAGTCCATTGTTGCAATATTAATAGAACGGAGGAAGTATAAAGAAACTCTTATATTTTTGGTGAAGTATAGAATAGATCCAGTGTACAATAATTTATTGTGCGCCCAACAATCTAGTACTTCCTCTGTTTTTTTAGTTGACACCGTTTGACTTTTACACTATTTACACAACACGCTTTGACTTGCTTTTGTGGTTTATAGATACGATAAAACATATTCATATGGATCTTATTTGAATCGTTTCGATGTTTATTTTATTAATATCTACTTTTTACAATTTTATAATGTTGATAATTAGATATGTTAATCGTTAAAAACATGCGTTGACAAGAATGATAATAAAAAGGTATCAACTAAAAAATTAGAAGAAGTATGTCATATGAAATGTGATTATATCATACAAAATGTAATTATATAATTTGAAAAAGGATTATATCATCTAGAAATTGATTATTTAAATGTATTATTTTAATAGTAAATTTATCATTTTAAAAAAAAAGTATCAAACAATAATTATTAATTTCATTCAAAATATAATTGTATTATAAGAAATGGTTTAAAATATGTTTTTTCATTCAAAATTTGACTCGCAATAAGATAATTTATTTCCTAAAAATGATTATATTATCCAAAATATAACTATATTATTTGAAAGTGTCAAATATTGGATTTAGAATAATTTATTGTAAACTGGGTTTATATAAGAAAATGTAATCTTGTATGTACCCGGTCTTTGGATGATATAATCACTTTTTTTAGATGATATAATTATTTTTATAGAAATAAAAATTTAGTCATATGATATAATTATCTTTTGGATCATATATTTATCTTTCGAATGATATAAATACGATACCTTTTTAATGATAACTTCACTTTTTAAATGATAAATTTACTTAATTAGTTTCGGTAGTTTTGGGATATAATCACTTTTCAAATGATATGATCACATTCCGTTTACATAATTACATATCAAATTATGTTTTAGATGGTTATTGTGCACCGCGTCTATTCTATAATTTCTATATATTTAATTTAACTAGTTTGGTGCCCCGTGCGATGCCCGGATTGTTCGTTGAATTATAATCTAACATTTCTTTTGAATAAAATTATAATTCAATTTGTACGTCTGAAATATTGGTATTTTATCGAAAATAAAACTCTAAACTAACAATTTTATCCTAAAATTCTATTCAAATAGAATTTTAAACTAACTTTTTTTTATCTTAGGAAGTCTGTTTAAATCTATCCAACGTGGCGTGACTTTTGGCGAAAAAATGAAACGCCAAGTGTCGCTGCCTCGTGACTAAAAGTTTAGCTTTATATATTAGTTATATGATTATTGATAAGCAAAAAATTATTTTTAAAAAAAATTAGACAATTGATAATATATAATTAATTGCTCCGTTTTCAAATACTTGCCCACTTTTTAAATCCGACTGTTTTTTAATATTTGCTCAATTTCCTTATTTGAAAAGATTTAACAATATTTAATTCATTTTTTTTAACTAGTGAACCCATAAACCATACTCGTATTTTATTAACTGATTTAATTCATTTTTCTTAACAACTAATGGACTCAATATAAATCGAAAACCTATTATATACCTTCGAGCATACCGTACACCCCGGTATATATAACTAATTCTAAGATAAATCATACTACTTTTGTTAATTTCATATTATCTCTCCTCTAATTCTCTCAACTACTTTTGTTTTTTTTATAATTTTTATTTTTTATTTTTTTCACTCATCACACTACCTTCATATTTTATTACTTTCTTTAATTTCTCTTGAAACTCCGTGTATAAATAAATGCGGGGGAATATCGTGACGCATCTCGTCTAATACCGGCTATATTTTTCGTTAGGTATAAAATACAAATAAAGAAAACAGTTACGGAGGTGGTATATATACCGGATAAAAAAATAATGATGGATAAGGAGACAGAAAATCAAGATACTCTCCAATGTACACGTACCTTACCTCTCAAATTCATCATCATCATTTCATTTCTATTTTGATAAACCCTCTTTTAGTCTTCTGATTTTTTGATTCAAAATTAATTTCCCACATCATAGTACTTCTCCTGCTAAATTCCACTCAAAAAATCCAAAAACAAATCAATTAAAATAATCGCAAAGAATTTTGAAGTGAGAAAGAATCTGGTACCTTCTTTCCATTCATGGGTTACCCACTTCTAGAATCTAACCCCTATTTTTCTACTCTACTTTTTTTGATTTGATTGATATTATCTTCTTCGTCTTCCCCAAATTCTTCTACTTTTTGCCTAAAATTTAGGGGTTTTGTTGAATTTTTCTGGGAAATGGATGATTGGGATTGGGAGGTGTTGCTTCACGATTCTCCTGAAGTAGAAAAAACTGAGATTAAAGATGAACAACAACCCAGAATTTATGCTTCTTCCTGTTCATCTGATGAAGTGGGTGTTATTCGTTCTGATTACTTTTCGCTTGATTCACATCAGAAGTTTGCTGGGGTTGAAGAAGAAGATGAAGAATCGGTGGATAACCCTAGTTGGATTGATCCGAGCGGTAGCAGTATAGCCGTAAGAGGAGAGAGAATCAGTAGCAGTAGTAGTCGTAATTCTGATTCCAGTGATCCTTCTGATTCTCGAAATTTGCTGCTTTTGATTGACACTCACTCTGATTGTGCTTTTGATTCTGCTGTAAATGGGGATAACATGGAAATTTCTGGGGAATTTCATGATTCTGATGTTGTTGATCAGGTTGAAGGAGGAGAATCTGAAGAAGTAGTTGAGCAGTTAAATTCGAATTCGAGCGGAAGCTCGGTGACTGCTGAAGAAGGAGGAGAAGGAAGAGGAATAAGCGAGACGATTTCAGAGTCGAATGAGGAGAAGAAGGTAGTGTGGTGGAAGGTGCCTTTGGAAGTTTTGAGGTATTGTGTGTTGAGGGTTAGTCCTGTTTGGTCCTTGTCAATGGCTGCTGCTGCGATCATGGGTTTCGTGATTTTACGACGCCGGTATCTGTATAAGATGAAGCGCAAGACACAGGGGTTGCAGCTTAAGGTCATTGTTGATGATAAGGTCTATGTTCTACTCCCTTTGCATAATTTTCAATTGCTCTTATTATTTGCAATTATAATTATGATTTACTAATGTTTTATGTTGTTTGTTTCTTGCTTTCTTATTATAATAATGATTCCAGACTATTGTTTGTTATAGACTTATAGTAATAGGATCATTTTTAAGGTAGGGAACTAAAAGTAATGTGTTCTGTGCTGGTAAAACATGTGTTAGTAGCTGTTTGTTTGATGGCAATACATATATTTAATTTTTGATAAACTCTTGACCGATCCCGGTAGTTTTATTCCAAAACACTGGTGATGAGCTAGATTTGCTCAATATATTAACCAATCTCGGATTCTCGGTGATAGATTCATCTGCATTTGATTAAATTTTGTGCTTTAGTATCAGAAATGTCTTTTTATGAAACTAAGTTGAAAGGACGGCATATTAGTCTATTCAAAGTATTTGTGATTTTGTATTAGTGTTTAGTGCTATAGTTTCTGCTCATAAGTGAGGAAATTCTGCGTAAAGTTTGGTCTTTGGTCACTCAATTATAAACGTGTTTTTTGGCATTAGTCAACCACTAGCACATGAAAGAATGATAAGCCGCCTAATCAAATAGGGAAATTGTTTTTGTTTCTATTCATTTACTTTTGGAACATCTCTCAATAGCTTAGTGTTAGTTATATAAGTATTATAACACATTTATTCTTTTTAAATGAATAAAAAGTTCGAAAGATAAAGTGAAAAAAAATATACTTTGTATATGATTTTCTCTCTTTTATACTTTGTATATCCCTGTTTGATGGCTAATAGTAGCCATATGTGCTACTCTTTTTCATTTGTTGAATCGGTCTTTTAAGTAGTCCATTAACTTGCAGTTTTATTATGTATATGTGAAAAGTGATATGGAAACTACTGTTGACAGTTTCATTATGAAGAGAAATGACTTTAAGGGGCTTTGGGAAGAAGTAGTCAAATGGCTGAAAATTTTCAGAATCAGTTGCTGGAACCACTTTAAAAAAACGACTCTTCCTTTTCTTCTTGGTCTTATTAGTGAAATTCTTCCTTCTCACTGAAATACAAATCATTCTTGTAATGGAAGCTGGTATGTGTTAACCCTCTGAGGATGATGTGAACAATTATGCTAGAGATACATTTCCTTATATCTGTTCTTCCAAATCTGCATATTGGGAGGAAATCATATGGGCTCACAAACCCCTGTTGCATTCCTCAATCACAGTAGGTTAATAATTTACCATTTTTCGGAAAGAAGTAGTCTCTCTTTTTTCTTTTTCTTTTCTTTTTTCTTTTTTCTTTTTTCTTTTTCATAGGACCAGGCCAAAAGTTCAAGCCTTTGAGAATATGACTTGTGTAAACAGTTTAGTAGATGCTTACTCACCTTTCAGGAAAGTTTACGTATAGATTGCACTACTATAAATCTATTTGCACTTGTGTGAATTTGAAGATCTGAGACACATGTTATTAAATGGTAGCTCTTGTGGAGTTTTCAAGCTTTTTTCTTCTGTTACCTTAGTGGCTTGGTGCTTCACACATTTCTATTTTGTTATACTCTGTAGTAAACTTGGCTGTTGATCAACCTGAAGAATTGTTTTAGGCCAAGATTTCTTGCTGATGTTCTCTACCATATGATGTATTGCTTGAGTAATCTTAAAAATTCCATCTTAGCTGTTTTCATGGGCATTATCAGTCTTCATAGATTAGACCACAGATTCTTTAACATGCTTTGGTAGTATGTTGATCTCTCTTAACCTTGGTTATTAGTTTTGCTTTGTTGACATATTTACATCTTCCACTTCGCTTTGTGGCCCTGAAATCTTTTAAAGTTGTGAATGATGTAGATTTCAGTCTGTTAGCTTTGTGATATTGAGGTGTTAACACTGTCACTTCTTACCCTTTCTTTTGGTGTCTTGTACGTTTTTGGGGATTTGTTCTAAGGGAAGGAGAAAGTTGACACATTTAGTGAGAAATAATGCTATTCCTTGTAGCAAGGGTAAGGTAAAGTCAGTTGTAAATACATATTCCCTGAAAAACCCTATCAGATGCTTACACACTACACTTTTTCCTGTCAGTTAAGGTCTTTAGGTTGACCTCCTCAATGTAATAGTGAGGTAGTATAGCCTTCTTGGCTGTATGTTTAACTGAATAAGAGCATTTGTAGACTCCAAGTTCAGATTTAGCAAAGCTGAACATTACTTCCTCTGTATTAAAATGTACAATGTTATTTGACAGACATAACTTTGAACTGTTTCTCTATCATATGCTCTCAATGTCCTTAAAGTCAAAGTAATCAGATTTAGAAGTTGATTGGCCCTTTTATAATCTTCTGGGATGCCCATAGTAATATTTGAGAAATATTTATTTTTGTTCTGGGAAATACATTTTTTGAAAATCTTTTCTTCCGTTTAAGATAAAAGTCAAGAGTGATATCCTTATATCACTGCAGGCCTGAAGCTGTGAGTCTGGTAGAAGCTGGATGTCAATTTATTATAACTGTGTGATCAACTACACTCATGACTGAATAGATTTATTTTATCTTGTATATGTGCAACACTTGAGCTCGTCCTGGTCACCTAATTTTATTCATTGATTGGAAAATTTTCAACTAGTTATGTATTGTATTGAGCTGTGAAGCTCACTTTGGAGAAAAGCAGAGGAAGGATATAACATCATCTGCAATTTTTAGTTTTAACTGCTTATGAGTTAATATTTATTACCTCATTAATTTCTTCGTTAGTTAGCATATCTTATAGAGAGCATCTCTCTAACTCTGCTGTTTGTGCTTTTGATGTCTTGCAGAAGGTATCTCAGTTCATGAGTCGTGCTGCACGACTTAATGAAGCATTTTCAGTGGTGAAGCGTGTACCAATTATACGGCCTTCATTGCCAGCACCTGGATTGGCTCCATGGCCAGTGGTGAGCATGAGATAGGCCCCACACAATTCTGATGAAAGGACAGCCGTTGTTTTGCTTTGAGGTCTGAAAGATTGCATGTTTACTAGTATATTGCCTTGATGTGTACTTAATATTTTAGTCGTGTGTTTTCCTCGTTTTTTTTTTTCTTTTTTTTTGGACAAAAAGATTTGTGTCAAACTTCTCTAGCAGTGGGTTGTAGATTTTAGATTCAACTTTGCTAAGGGTGTCGAACTGGCATATGGATATTCGTCATTGTACCAAAAAATGTTTTTCATGTTCTGTAAATCTACTGGAGTTACTGGAAGATATAATTCTTCAGCTCTGATGGTTCTATCCATTATATCAATTTAGGAGGTTTATCTTGTGTATAGATTGGTGTTTCTTTTAGTTTGTAGTAAATGTTGTGTTACTCTGTAATCTTTGTTACATGCACTCTTTATTTCACCTCAAGTACCCATGTCAGACCATCGATACTCAGACATGGGTATGACACTTGGAAATCATGGGTTTTTTTCACAAGATAGCCGAGTCGGACACTTGGGCACATATTCGTGTCGGACATGGGTACATGAGTCCATATAACATAGTCTGTAATTGTTAAACGAGTCTTCTGGTTTTTTATCTAAGTAATAAAATGAACATATTGTTTGTAGTGCTGTATACAAAATCCGAAATTCATAGGCAGTGAAGGTTGTTTTAATGAAAAACCATCATTCCCAGTGTCTTGGATTGGTTTCAAAGCTTGCCACACATCCCAGTCCTAAAAGCTCTGATATTGCAGAAATTAGCGTTGAAACTCTAGGTCAGATATTATGTATCCCATACGTATAAATTATCTTGTGCCCATAACTTTGATTATTTATATCTTTATATCAGTTGAAATTTTTATAAGTTGGCAGTATTATAAAATATGCAACTTGATCAATCCAACATTATATACTACTCCAGTACTTAATTACATGTGTATATGATTTTTTAAATAAAAAAATCAAATCAACATTGTATATGAATGGTAGAAAAGTAAAAGCACTGCGCTTAATTTAGAAATAGAGGGAAAACTAGAACCTAATCATCTAGAACCGGTCCTTGATTCCAAATTAACCTAAAGGACGAACTGGATTGAACACTAAAATATTTAGGAATAGAGAGAGTATATTTAGAGTGTTTTGTATAAAGAAATGTTTGGCTAATTGGCCTTATTTGCTTCAAATGAACATTAATTGGGTAGATTAGGAAAATATCTCTTGAGTACACCTAACTTTAAATATACCCAGGTACAAGATGAGTACATAAAATAAACGTTAAAAATGAACTTGCAAGGTGTCTAATCCCTTTGTGTACACAAAATAATCGCTAGAAAGGAACTTACAACCAAATAATAAAAGACATAGTACCCTGTATAAGGGTATTATTCGTTTCGATCATTTGCTTCAAATGAACATTAAATGCGCAAATACGCAAAATATCTCTTAGATACACCATACACCTAACGTACAAGATGTAGATTCTCATATCTGAATCCTTTTGCGTGGTGTGAATAAAATCAATAGATAGGAATTTCCAACCAAATTATTAACTATACAACACAAGAGGCTAAAGAACAAATGGATGGTCGGTAGGATAGTTGATCCAAATTTAGGAATATTTTCCGTGAAATTTTCATTTTAAATGCTTCATCTCTTGTTTGTGACATGGACTGATTATACTTTGATGGAATTGTACAAGTGCATAACCATTTTAATACTGTATTTTACAATGTATTTAGATAATTATTTCAAACAAATAGTTTATCTTTTATAAAAAATAAAAATAAATAAAAATAAAATAAAAAAAATCATGAATAACGACACTAGCAAATTTTGAAATTTATAGGTTCAATTAGAAGTTGTTGCTGACCTGGCATGGCGAGTAAAAAAGTCGGTGAGTGATAGGAAATATTTTATAAAAATAAATAAATAATCGACATGGATTGCCACATCATCAGATGAGGAAGTATGCAGTACTGAAGTACGTGGAAAACGGTGGTTCAACCAGTACAAGCACGACAATTGTAATGGCCATGTAGGTATGTCGTATCATGTGTGCACGGTGCGTGTGATGCACCATGCATTAAGCATTGCACTACATGTCGACAGCCGACATGGTTTTACACCCAAGTATATACTAAAAATTATGATCAAGACAAACAATTAGGGATAGAAAGAGTATAATACAATAATATATGGCCGCGGGTTTATGGTGTGTTGGAGCACCGTAATTGTGTTTCTGGTATAACCTTTATTCATCTTCAGTATTTACTCATACAATCAAAGTAATGTTAATCTCCAGTTAAAAATCTGCACATAAAACACATGGTACAAGAGCAAGTAGAAATGATAAATTATACTCTAATGTAGGATATTAAAATTCATCCAAACTTATAATCCCCAAACTCTCATTCCCCATTTTTAAGTAGGGAACATGTAGATTTTTTTTTTTTTTTTTAATCGAGAATTATAATCCCGTTTAATAAAGGCCAATGACAGTGGTTATTACATGACAAGATACAAACACCAGCTTCATGTTCAAAATTCTTATAACAAGTAGCAATCTTTCAAGAAATTACAAGCAAAATTAACAATTAAGCCATACTTTATTATATACAAAAGGCTGCCAAAGTGTTAAGAAGAACAAACAAGGGAAAACACATCCTCTAAATCAACTTCTGTCAAGAAATACTCCAAACACAGTGTCAAAATGCAAGAACAAATGGAACATTTAGGGGAGGAAAATACCGATAGCGTTGTATCTTAAATCCAAGGCACTGCAATGTGAAAAGCATTCTGAAATAATGGATCATTCACATATATATTATATATAAATATAAACTCAATAAGAAGATACAAGCCGCTGTTTATAGAGAAAGGATTACAATTGTAAAACTACAGCTCAAAAATAGGAAAAACCAAGAAGACTTCATCGAACAAAATTTCCTGGACTTTTCCGTTCTATAAACACTATTTACCATATCTGTGAACAGCATAACGAGTGCCAAAAAACCAAAAATTACGCTTATAAGAAATATTATGATGCCCTTGCTTTCCATGTACAACTGTTTTTCCTGCACCTTTTTGACGTCTGACCTGCAAAAAATTGGACACTTATTGTCAATGTAATGAGGAAAAGGTTATATTGAATAAATAAGAACAAAATGTTGAGACCATATCAGAGATAATAATGCCTCAAGCTCCCTGTAACTGTAATTCTGGCAAAGAAAGAAGTCTACATCTCAATCTTTACTTCACCAAAAATACCTTCCGGTGTTTTCTGTGGAAATGATGGAAAAGGCTAATAAGGGAAGGGATCGTAATCATTTATAATAATAATAATTAAAAAGACCAAATTCAAGACCACTGCAAATTCCCCAAGTCTGAAAAGAAAGTGAAAAAAGTTTAAGATAGTTAGCTGACAGCCCTTGAGAAAACCTAAACGTGTTTTAATTTACAGTTTGTTTGGATAAAGAAAGGGGAAGGAAAAGAAAGGGGAAGGAAAAGAAGGGGAGGGAGGAGAAGAGGAGGGGAGGGAGGAGAAGAGGAGGGAAGAATGGTGAGTTTTCCTTCCAAATCTTTCCATTGTTGGAGGGATCAATTTCCTACAATTTAATCATTCCATTTCTCTCCCCTCCAATTCCCTCCCTTCCTCATTTGCTATCCAAATGAAAGATACTCCATCTCTCCATTTCTCTTCCCTTCCTTTCCCTCCATTTCCTTCAATCCAAACACACCGTTAATGAAGCAGGAAAGAAATTTTAGATCCATAGAGGATGGTGCAAATATTTATAGGTGCTACTAATTAGCAAGCAGATCATAGAATAATAGCTTCTTCAAATGTTTCAGTAAGACATAACATCTCATATCTTATACTCCAAGTAGCTTCACATGCACTCCTTATTCCCTCCTAACAGCATTGTTAATTGTTGCTACTTGTACTCTTAAGTATCTAATTTGCAATGTTGCTACTTCTTAACACAAATTCAAAGACATATTCTTCAAATTGTAGGGGGGTGAAATTGGAGGCATTCTCAGTCTATGGGTGAAATCAAAATTTATATAGCAGAACCTAAGCGTCATCAACTAATCCCTAAACCCCCCCTAGATAGCTAGAACTAGAAGCCTAGTATATCCTCAATCATCTCCAGGTTGAGCCGTGAAATTGCATGATGGTACATGCCAGCAACTCTCAAGGAGTCAAGGGATAATGTACGTGATTAGAGTACAGCAACAAAACACTACCTGAGCATAGCATTGTCTTTTAGTAAGCTATCCAACTGCATGGACACTGAAGATCTCCAAGCCACAAGGTCATCAACATCCTTAGCCTGGAGCACAAATATATTAACAAAGTGTATCAATATTAGAAATAGGCACAAACAAAATTCAAATTAATAAATATATAGGGGAGAATCATGATATAATAAACAAGGGAATCAAGATTTTTACAAAAAAAATATGCGAAATTGTTACTTACAATAACATCCCTGCTATCTACAACGCTCTTTATATCCAATCTGGTCTTCTCCATTAGGATTTCTTTCTCTTCCATCTCCTTGTCAAATTCCTTGAAAATGCTAGCATATCTGGAGTTAACCTCCTCCAAATATCGCTCTAGAACAGATAAACTTATGTCCAGTGCTCGAACCTTTTGCATCAGAATCTTGAGAACGGTATCGCCAGGCATCCTGCTGCCCTGTTGATGATGCACTTCTTCAACTGGATCAGGAACATCATTGATTGTATCATCATATTTCAAGTTTTTACTCCCAGCTGTCTCACTCTCACTGAACAAGTTCTGATCTGGATGGTTGCTCTCGGCAGATTCTGCAACAATTGGCTTCTGTTCCTGTTCATCTGTTGTTTCCTCACTTGCATAATGATGATGATCAGGAACAGAGATCAAATCCTCTAACATTCTCTCAACAGCATCAATACCATATACTTCAACACTACTTAGTGTACAGTAAAATTCAGATCCATAATGGCTTAATATATTCAACTTCAGGTATCTCACCCATTTGGGCTCTAGTACAGTAAAGGTTTGAGCATGCTTCACATTCCCAGCCGAGAAGTTGCCCAATTTTACCCATGTTTGAGTAGGATAAACTAGACTCCCCAACAGCTCAAAGTCTTTCAAATTAGAAGAGTAATGCTCAAAGTTGGCAATCTTAATAGTATCGACTAGAGTTTCTTCAGAGAGTTCAATGACAACAAATTTCCCCTCAGCTGAACATGGGTTTCTAAGATACTTGTCCTTATCCATGTTTAATATATTTGAAGCACCTTTGGATTCCTTATTAGAGTCCAACACCTTAGCGCCTTTTGCAGCTGAAGCATAATTGTATTCACCACCCCCAGGCTCCATTCTGTGAATGATACTACCAGTTGCACCAGGTACATAAGTATTTCTAGAATTCAGGGCCTTCTTTTTAAATTCATCTAGACCACGAGGGGCAGTTCGAGTTAGCCTCTCTAGTTTTCCAGTGCCTTTTTTATGTTCCAAATCTGAATTGGTAGGCTCCACCTCAGAATGTTCCAAGGATCCTGTAACACCGGTTTTGGTATCATGTCTAATATCTCCAGCTTGTGCCTCAGAACCGAAATCTTCAACAATGGCACCATCAGTGCAGGAAGTCTCATAAGAATATTCGGAACAGGTTTCTTTCAAATGCTTGTTTTCTAATGAAGCTGGTGAATGTTTATCTACAGAACTAGAGGCTACATCGCTTCCTAACTTGCTTTCATCCCAGTTTGAGACATTAAGGGCCAGTGATTCATCTGTAAGTTGTTGGCAGTCAGTAAAAACTAAAAAGTATGAGTAATAAGTCAACTTGTTTACAGGTATCTAAGGATGATTATATATAATTCCTCCATTATTTTTTTAGTGACACATTTCGTTTTTCACATTTGACAATGCATAACTTTAAGTCATTAAACCATTACTTTTTTAATTATCAATGCGTAAAACTAACAAATGAAAATATACATTAAGATGAATCAAATAAGATCCTAGAAACTTCAAATAGCATGTCATACTGATTTCATCTTTGAACCTAATCACTTGAACTTTCCTACCTTTGCTAGTTTGCTACCCATTGTTTCTAATTAATCTAATCGAGGTAGCAATCACTGGAGAGGGTTGAAATCAGCAAACCCCTAACATGTAATTGAAGATGATTAAACTGTTTCAGAAGTATTATGAAATGGACAGAGTTTTCTACTACTGAACATCCAAGGAATCAGACAGAAACATCAACTATATGCATCTCAAATCAGCCTGGATTGAAATAATAGAATCAAATCAAAGACTAATAACTCAATTTATGCAAGGTACTAAGCTTTGTCTCAATAACAAGCCACATTTGGCTTTGTGATTAAAGCTCGCTAACTTGATTGTTATTACAACAGAAATCTGTCTCAAGTCACAAGCAAACCGAAATTTATCTTTGAAAACATTTCAAAAAAAAAAAACACAGATGGTATTATGGCGAAAAGATTAGACTGGTAATCCAAAGGATTGGTAATAAATTCTGCACACCATTCGGATATAGATGTTCCATTTGACTATTTCCATATCAGTGTCCAAGTTATCGCAGAGAATTCAATAACAAGCATGAATAACACCAGTAACAAATAACAACAGCAAAACATAATACGAGTTTAAACTGACCTTGATTACCATCACCATTACTGATCCACGGACTTAAAAGAAAGACGAGCCCCCAAAGAACGATAACTAAGGAAAGTGAATATTTATACAAATGATTTCTACCAATAACTTTCTGTAAGTTTCTTCGTTGCAGAAGAGATCTACGTGATTTCTGCATCTCTCATCAATCCTACACAATGCACCTTACCACCAATATATTCACACAGCCAGCTCACTACCTACACCATATAAAATTCAATATATCAAACAAACAGATCAACCATTTCAACAACATTAATCAAAGCATAATCTATGACAATTCGGATCGAAAGCCGGTCCAATTTCTGACCTCCCCACTGATAAACCTTTAATGATATTTCATAACTTGAATGTAATCCAAGCTGGAAATTGAATAAAGCACAACCCTTTTGGCTTATAATGGAAGAATTGGGTGTTCATTAGAATAATTAAAACTTTGAATGCAAGTATAAACATAGAATTATACCTAAAGAAAGCATAAATTATAGCCCCCAATAAGTACATTCAAAAGTCATTTTTTAATTTTTCCATTTCTTGAATAATTATACTTTAATTTAACATTATACACATCATAATTACATCAGTTGACTATCTGTAACGGAAGATTTCTTAATCAATTTTTATGGGAAGTTAATATTTATATAGATAGAAACAATCAAAGTTATGGGTTTTTGAGGAAATGGATATTCATTCAGAAAAATGGGATTTGGGAACAAAATCACAGCATAATTATTTGAATGAATTATTCATCAAATCAACAAGATAATAAATAATCGATCTTGATTTTTTTTTTCTTATAAAAAAAATGCAATTGATTAAAATTACATTAATAAAATAAATTAGAGGAAATTTAAAGAAGAAGAAAAGAAACTCACAGTCATAGAAAAACAGGTGAAATTAGCGAGGAAGAAGATGAACAGAACTGAAATTTGAATAATAAAGTCGGCGAATCAACTTGTTTAATACACGCATTTGGACTTTCATTTTTTGTTTTTTTTGGAGTAATAATTGAGTAGAAAATCAATCACTTTCTTAATTGATTTGTTTAATTGATGAAGAATTTATAAACAACTCTTAATTCTCTCTCCTATTTTCTCTCTCCTAAAGTAGGAGGAGGAGGAGGATTGGAGAAATGAGTATTCCAAGTTTCTCTAGAAATTCAAACTCTAGAGAAATGAGTTGAAATGAGGATTGGGGGAGTGATGGGAGGAACACAATTTCCAATTTCTACCAAATACCAATACACGCATTTCTACAGTTTTTGCACCCTTACTTACGTACAATGCACGGGATATATAAACTTGTACAAAAAAAAAAAACAATGATGGATTTAGAGAACTTTGGTTTTAGTATTTACGGAGTGGAGTATATACTTATTTATTTATTTTTTTTGACGGGATATACTTATTTGAAAATGTTATGATCATAATCTATATTAGTACATTTTTTTCAAATAAGTATATTAGTTTGCGAATGTTATGATCATAAATTAGTTTTAGTAATTACGGAGTATATACTTATTTGAAAAGGTAGATTATGATCGATTGAATCCTTAAATTGATGCTAATGACAAATTTATGCATAGATGGTTGATATTTTCACTTTTATTTCTAAGAGTTGCATATATCATTTTCCACACATGTTATCGGGTAAGCTAATGTATTTTATGTTACCCTATATAAAACCCAAAACCTCTTGGAATTTGAGTACTTGGTACATAATTTTGATGATTTTTATTACTCCGTACTTCCTTTGACAACTAAAACTTAAACAAGATAGCTATGATTTTGGAGTGTGCCACTTTCTTAACCAAGTATTCCCTTCATCTTAGCTAAATGTCGGTTTTAAAAATTGTTACAAATTCACAATTTTCAATATTAGATAATTCTTGAAGGTGCAAATGGGAGTTTGAGTGTTATTTTGATTACCTTTAATATGATAGCAAAATCTCCACTATGCATACATTCATCTATCTACATCATGATAAAAGGAAGTAGACCACGATATGCAGGTGATTCAATCCATTCTTATAGCTTAATGTAAGGTTTCTCTAGTTTCCTTAATTGACTTTAATTAAATTCAATACATTCACTTGAAATCAATAATGTTGATTTAATACTATTCTTGTAATACATGAAATCATAAGAGTGCTGTAATAACTTGAAATAACAAAATCTTACCTCAAATATGAAGCTTCAACAACTCCAATGGTCTAGAATAACGTTTTGCTTATACATTTGCTCATCCATCTAGAATTTTGTTTCGAGGTACTTTTTATTTATCGAAATGAAATTTTTTATACTTAATATGAACCCTTCGCCGCACCTTAATAAAAAATAGAAAATACAAGTACTACTAAAAAATATATATATATGTCCGAAGTGAATTATACTACAGTACTAATTGATAGTATAGTGGTGGATCTATGTGTGAAACGTCCATTTAAAAATCTGGTGAATTACTACAATAAGCGGTTGTAAAATGGATGGGGATTGGTGAAATACGTCTGTTGCTGAGCTGTGATCGCATTATTGGCTCGGATTCTTAGACGCCACGTCACAGCAGGTGTTACACTCTTCCACGTGGACTTGTCTTGTTGTATTTTGCTCCCTTTTTTCCCTGATTGCTGTGGTATGATGTATGGCAAATTAACCAACTTTTATGGGCATTGTTTTTCCATAATTTTGGGCTTTTTTCGATCTAAATTGTTTCTTACTTTTGTCGACATAACTCTAATTCTGTATTTTGTTGTGTACTCCCTCTTTTTAATTAAGGGCTCGTTTGACATTGTTGTGATTTTCTGTTTTTTGGTTTTTTGTTTTTCAAAATCATATGATACATGTCATAAAATGAATCAAAAATTATTCAAACTTATTAAAAACATGATAATTTTGAAAACTGACAACAAAAAAGTAAAAACACATTTTTCTTGTTTCCTATTTTTGGTTTTCTGTTTTTTTTTAAAAAAAAAAAACAGAAAATTGAAAACCAAAAACAATGTCAAACAAGCCCTAAATTATAGACTTTTAACACGTACTAAAATAAAATAAGTTCCTCATTTTTCCTAACTAATTTTTCTAATTAAATATGAATATACAATTCCCAAAAGTGCATAATTTTCATATTTAATTAATAAATTTCAATTAAATTATATTATTAACAATTGTTAACAACTTGTAAATAACTTAATAGCATAATATGTGTAGAAAACCTAAAGTTTAAAATTTAAAAATTCAAATGGAATATATTTTCAAAACTATGTTAAATAGGGTAGCTTAAAAAGGAAAAAAATATGACATCATCCTTGCATTTTAGAGGGAAAAAATTAAATAAAAAAGTAACACGTAGACAATGATGACATCAGCGGTTGTTATTTTAGTATATTAGATATAGATATAGATAGATAGATTTGAGTGATCCAATTTGAAATTGATCATAAAATATTAAAATTCATATAAAGACTAATTTAAGGATAATAATTTAACATGACCAAATCTATTTACTTATATACTAAAAGCAAATCCTTCCATAACATTTATCTAGTTATCATTACCTTATGAAAAAACTATCGGTCATCTTCACCTTTTTTTAAAAAAAATATTTCTAAGTATCTTTTATATATTTTATATTTTGTATTATTATTGTCAAAAATATTTAACAGTTGTACATTACATAGGATTTTAACCTAATTTAAAAATAAACCCGACCCGATTTCACTAAACTTGACTCGAGTGGGTAAGGATAATGACCCTAGGTACTAGATCGTTATCATTTCCAAGTAAACCAAAAACTTAGTTACATATATTAGGCTTTTGGGAAAGAGGGGTGATGGAGGGATAAGGAACCCCTAACTTTTAAAAACCGCAGTTAATAGGAATTGAACCCATGAGGTCATGAGGTGAAACCCTTATCAATTACACCAAATACTACTTGGTCACTATATCTTGATATTCTCAATACTTAGTTAATCAAATTAATTGTCATTCATATAGAGTATTATTTTAACTTATGGGGTTAATGGTAATTATAATACGATCAGATCATGTATATTACATTACTTCTTAAAGACGACTTCTACTTACGAAGTACTCCGTATTAATTAACAAAACCTTGAATGGGTATATGATTCAAGTATTTATGCCATATAAGAAAATCGAAACATATCTTATGCACAAATTAATACGGGCCGGGAACAACGCATGACATGCCCAACATCATAAGTCATCAACTCAACAGATTACGCACGATAAGGATCGAGAACGGTAAGCGATCTGATGAGTTGATGGCTTATGATGTTGGCATGGCATGCGCCATTGTGTTGTCTCCTGCCAATTTGTTACTTTGATTTGTTTAAGACTATGCACAAACACTTAAATTGACATGTTGGCTTATGATGTTGTAAATTGTTGGTTTTGTAAATATTTAACTTTTGATTATTAGGTGTTCTAATGTACAAGTATTTGATGTATAAATTAAGATTAATAACTTGAATAAGGTGTTTTACCAAACTCCTAAATCTAGCCCTGTTTCACAATTAGCTATTAGCTTGCTATTTTGACTAGCTATCAATTGGTAGCTTTTTGCATAATTTGTTTTGACCATTTGATCATCATGAGCTATTTTGTATAAAAGTTTTTGGTTGGTAAGGCGAAAGGTCCTCCCGCTCCGGATTAGCGGGCTAGACAATTTGGAAGAGTGGGAGAAGATAAGGGAATCCAACACTCCCAATTTGTCACTGGTGGGGATTGAACTCCCAACATCATGGTTGGAAGGTACTCTCCTTTCTTTTAGACCAAGTTTGGCTTGATATGTAAAGGTTAAAGGCTATTTCAAATAGCTCCTTGTGTAAGTCTTTTTTTGTAAACAAGTCTTTGGCTTTGTTTGACAATTAGCTTTTAGTTGTTTAACTGTTTGCATAAACTGTGTTGGAGTGCCCCCTGATAGAAATTAGTTGTATGTATAAAAATATTTGGTAAATATTTGTTAGTTATTAGATGTTTTAGTGCATAAAACAACAAAAAGGCTAAAAGATATTTTGGAACCTAAATAACTTTATCAAACAACTCTCTAATAGAGCTTTAACAATGGTCAAACATCTATTATTGCTCCAAAGCTACTTACAGAACCTCTCATTTATCAAATACTTCAAATACTCCCTTATTCTCTTTTTCTTCGCCCAGATTTTCTTTTTAAAGTGTCCCTTAAAAATTGCTCCATACTACCCAGTATTAATATTTATAGGGACCACTCTTTACTATCACCAAAGTATTTTTGATCCTACTACTTTGCTTTCTCATCAATTTCACTCAACCAAAACTTAAAAAAAATGATACAGAGTATCTATATGGAGTAAACAATTGGAGACGTGAAGACGTAAGAGAACGTGGTCTTACCCTTATGGCCTTGTGACTTTTAGGCCCGGTTCTGTTCACCTTATTTTCACTTATTTCAGGGTTGATAATTTCAGGAAAAATAAGTTTAGATAAGTTGTGATAAGGGTTAATCAGGTATTTGTTTGACAATTAGCTTTTAATAAATTCTAATAAGAATTAATATGTTCAAATAAGTTTAGATAAGTTCAGAGAAATAAAAATCAAGTGAATAGAACGCGCCTTTAAGAGTCGTGAATACGGCGCAAGAGAGTTGAAACTTGAAAGGCAATATCAGCCCACATTAACGCGACTCCTCCACTAAAGTCCACAATTTCAACGCGACACCTTACTTTCTTCACTTCCAGAACTTTTTTCAACCAAGTTACTCTTCATCGGGTCAACACTGTTACAATGTCTGAAAATCCAAAGAGCACAGTTTATATAGGTAACTCTTTCTTCATCTTCTTCCTTCAATTTCTCTTTCCTTTGTTTAATTCACCAATTTAATGATTTACGTAGTATTTTAATATATGCTTCTGCTTATTCATAGAAACCCTAATTTATGTTGTTGCGCTATTTTGTTGCTGAATTTTAGATTGACAGTTTGATTCGTTTGTTAAAGGTGACTTCTTGAATTGGGAAATTTGGGTTTAGGGTTATACAAGTATTATGTTGTGATTTAGTGAGAGTCATGCTTACAATTATACCAATTGTTAATTTACACTGTAAAGTTGTGATTTTGCAATTTACTAATTGATTTTTAGGTTTGTGCAATTTGGATTAACTTAGAATCAAGCTGTAGTGAATGGAGATTGCAAAACCTGTTACCCTTACTTTTTTGTAGACGGGTTTTGATTGTTTAATATAAAAAACGATGCCGGAATATCGATGTTAACTCATTTATGATTGATGAAGATTATAATTGTGAATGCTAAGATGCTCACGTTTGAAAAGAAAACCTACATTGGTTCTTTGGAGGCTCTTATTACTGGATCAAATTCTCCGAATTTGCCGAATCGATTATACTGTATATAAGTATATTACTACAATTGCTAAGCATCTATGGCTGAATGGTTTAAGTAGCCAGCTCATATTTGACTCACAATAAGTTTTTTAGAATAGTCTGTATCAAATTGAATCTCGCAATTCATACTTAAGGATTACTTGTGTAGTCATTCATGCCATTTCTTTGTGATATACCATATGCTAATTTCCTTGACTACTTTGCACACAGGTAATCTGGACGAGAGAGTTACTGATAGGATCCTATATGACATCCTTATCCAAGCAGGGCGAGTAGTTGATTTATACATTCCGCGTGATAGAGAAACAGATAAACCTAAGGGTTTTGCCTTTGCAGAGTATGAAACAGAAGAGATTGCAAATTATGCTGTCAGGCTTTTTACTGGCCTTGTGACTCTGTACAACAGGACGTTAAAATTTGCGGTCCGTCCCCTTCCTTTTTTTCTCTGCATATCTTATTCTGACATTTAGTTGGAGCTTCATAAAGCTATTTTTAGTCTCGTGTTACTTTCCTCATATGGTTGGTTGGATCTTAGTTAGTTCAATTGCCTACTTTTGTTATATGACCAATTACTTTTGTTGTATGACCAATTGACCTGTTTAAACTTCTATGAGTGGAACTTGTGGGCCATGATGTATTATGGCGCCATAATATGGGCATTGGGCAATTAACATGTATTGTCCGATATATTTTTATTGAATATTAAGATAATTGATTTACCTTTGTTAATAATGTTTTGATTTTCTGAACAGATTTCTGGGCAAGATAAGGCAGCTGCGAATATGACCTCTACATCGATGCACCCATCTAATTCACCCCTTAGGTCCAGGAAACCTGAACCTTTTAGCAGTATGGAGGACCCTTATCACTCTCGATCTTTACATTCTAGTAGATTCTCAACAAACCCAGGCCGTTATGAGCCAGGTAATCTATTTCTCTGAAGTGTTTCAACTTCTCTTCCCCTCTTTCCTGGTTGATGTATGTACTAATTCATTTTTCTTTTTCCTTTTATATTATTCTTCTATATTTTTTGGACCTGTTGTTGTTTGTGAATTTGCTAACTAAATAATGTGATTCTTTTTCTTCAGATTTACTCCCCCCTGGTGTAGACCAAGACTCTAGTCCGTTCAGGTCTCGTCATGATGGCTACAATCAAGATTACTCACGGAGAGCATTTGGAGCATCTTTGGATAGTATTAGCCGCTCTAGGCCAGGACGCTTTTAAACAAGTAATATAATTGCTGACCCTCTTATTTACTTCCCTGAGCATGTTGTGGATGCAAATCTGATTTGTAGATTCAGATTGTCTAGTCTAGTCTACTATCTGTAGTATAGGATCTGGTCTAGTAGCGAACATTGTAATGCTATCATAACAGTTGCGTATAATGGTAAATGTATCACATGCGATTTCTCATTTGCTTTCTGATGCTTTTTATTTTGTGATTTGGATGTGTGATGATGAAACTCTGAAATAATAGATAGTGCTCTCTTTCCTTCTCTTCAAATCTAATACAATGGGGTTAATGGTTTGGTCCATACTTCCGTGGACTATGTGATCATGGATGTTAGATATTGTAGCTTGGTGTGCTTAGAAACAATGTAATTGAAGTTAAGTATATTTGAAGGAAAGTTACTGGAGAAAGCCTAATTCGTGAAAATTGATCTTTCATTTTATTGGGATATCTATCACACTCAGTGTTATTAAGTGGATATTGCTTTTTGTGAAATTGCTCTTGGCAGCTTAAAGGATTTGACAAACCTCAGGATTGGATGACATAGGATATTGGATGGTTTCAAAGTCTAATGTCAAAGTTTAATGAAAGATTAAAAGGGGCTCTTTGTTGAATCGTTTGATTTGTGTTCTTAAGAGCGGAGTGCTGTGTTATTGTACCTTTTCTGAAAATTGAGTGTACATATTCTCTGTAACTGTACTCGGGACATAGTCTGACCTGTTTAACTAAGCTTTGCCTGGGAAATGTTTGGTGTAGGACCAGTTATGCTGTATTTTTCAAGGCTTATAAAACACTTTGTATTAATTTATAGAAAATTTTAAAACTATTGTTTTTAGGGACTGGATTACATTACTGTTCATTGGTAAAGTTAAGGTTATGAGAGTATTGAGCAAAGCTGGTAATAGAGAAATTATAATGATTTCAAGAATTAACTTCTAAAATAAAGGACAAAGTAAAATGAAAGATGGAGTGTCAAGGAAATCACTATGTCACACTCACAGCGTAAGAATTCTTATTATCTGATTAACAGGAATTTTTTTTTTGGCGTCCATTGTATTTGCACCCTTCTGCAGAGGTCTGATGATGATTTTTAATGGTTTGTTGCAAGCTCTATCATTAGAAAGGAATAAGTTCTTTTAGATTGTAAAATAAGGTGTTATATTTTAGACCCAATTATAATACCTTTAGCATTATCATAGTTGGAGAAAGGTCTGAAGCTTAATTCTAGCCATTTACCTTTATCAGAGACCATGGGAAGGGATCTGCAATTAATAGCATGGTTAAGATGTGATGGATACTTTGGGGTGGGTAATCTGCATGGTTACCCAATTATTACTATTGAGGTTTTAACCTCCTGGTTAATAATTTTCTAGTGTACTTTATGCTCTTGTAAATGTTGAGGACTTAAACTATTGGAGTCTCTGAATCTCTCTGATACAACCAATGCGGTTCATGATGCTTCAGCTTAGGCTGTCTTTGCTTGATTATGGGGATGTTTGCTTGCTTTTGTGTTTGAATAAACTGTTTCTTCTCTATACTTAAATCATGTTTTTGTTTAAGCTAAATCTTAGTTTTATATAGATGTTATAGAGAGATGTACCTTTTATCTCATTTAAAATTTACGTGGGCATCAGCTGTCCAAGTTGCAAAAATTGAATAGGAGTTGCATCTGAGATTAGGTATGAGTTACAGGGCTTTATGTATTGGTAGAGGGTGTTCTGAATGATGTTAATAGCCTCTAGTCCTATTTGTTTAACTTGGGAACTGTGTTGAGTAAAGATGAATATCATGTCGTGGATGATAATGTTCCAAAGTGTCGGTTTCTTGTTCTTGGGTTTGCGGTTGTCTGGTGTAGAATAAAGCTGCATTTGCTGGTAATTTTTTAAAAACCTGGCAATTCGTGTGATTTTTTTAGCAGTTTGTCAACTATATTGTTAATATAAAATCTCTGTCAAGATTTGGTAGTTGCTTAGGTTTTTGGGGTAACTGGAGTCTCCCCTGCTCCCCCGGGCTGGTGGCCTCCCAAAAGAGAAAGGGAGCTGTTTGATTAATTGATGGAAATAATGCTGAGATCAATATCCATAAAACATGTAAATACATGTGCACGTACATGACTATTACAAGCACATTTGCTTCACAATGGGTGATGTTGCTTTGGCTTCAGCTTTTTCTACATCATTTTCTAAATAGATTCCTTTCAGTGTGAGGTGAAATTCATAGAGAAAAAAAAGAGCAACTGAAAGGGTAAAAAAGAAAAAAAGAAGAAAAGAAACTATTAGCTCGACATTCTGCACTTTGGACAGGCAGAGTATCTACACGAAGAGCATGGTTTTTCTACTATATGTAGGTAGGCTGCATAGGGTTCGTTGACTAAAGGTGGAAGTGGAGCTGAAATTTATGGAATTCAGTACCTAACGAAGGAGGCAAGGGTTCCAACCATAGCTGCATTTATATACGTGGCTGGCTCGGAGTGACTAAAGTCTGTGCGATCATCACTGTAAGCATCATTCTGGCTTGGACCTCCAACGACAGCTCCAATCAGAATGTTGGGATTGGGATTTGAGCCGTAATAGTAAGGTTGAAAGCCATCGCTGCATTTGATAGCTTGATTCTGTTTTCTTAAGGAAGGCAAGGACGAAGCTCGGTGATGAATTTTTTTCGGATAATTTGCCCCATATCCGACCATGTAGGACATCTTCAAAGGGTTGTCTCCAAGTATGTAATCCACCTGCAATAACAATAATTAGTATGTAGCTAGTATATTTTTGCTTCTTTGAGTTGATGATGGTAAGATGATTTTAAAGACCACATAGGGAAGATAGATGAAAACCTGTCTCTTGACAAGGTGTCGTAAAGTTTTCGAGGTGACCACAATGGAACCACAAGTGAATGTGTGCTTGGAAACTGTCATCAACTTGGAATAAGTTGTGAGCAAAAAACTGATGGATGTCACATACTGGAGGTTACTCCCGCTGAGTTTATACATCAGACCACCTACATATGTTATATACAAGTTCATTAGTGACTAAATTACTGACTTGAACTGAAATAACCTGACCTGGACCTGAAATTAATGCGATAACTTTATCATAATTAGATTTTTTTTTCCTTAGTATGCTTGATCATCTCTAGAATTGAGTGACATATCACCCAGCTGACTGTAAAGAGATTAATCGGAAAAGTGGAGCACCTGGTGTGTACTGGGTGGAAGTAGAAGGGCTGTTGGGCAATATGCGGCAGATGAACTCCTCTGCAGCTTGCTTGTAAGGTTCAAAATTCTTGTCTTTTCCGAGTAATGCATTCTGAATAAATAGAGGGTAAGTTTTGTTTAAATTCTAAAGGTTGATAATAAGGTGAAGTGAAAAATTTAATTAATATTTTGTTACCCTGGAGAGAAGGACTCGAGCGCCTGCAAACTTATTGTCCCAGCTGAAAATGTCTGTGGCATCATTAGCTCCTAGTGAATTCATCATATTCAAGTAATAGCTCTTTTTTGTTGCTCTGTACAGCCAGGCTGCCCCCCATAGCAGCTCATCCTTGTACCCTGAATACGAGCAGTAGAAGGGGCAGGCAGCTGATCCAAGAGAATCACTGTAAGTTCCCCTGTACTTTAAAGCAAATTCCATCACTTTCTTTGCAGTAGTCAATAGCATAGCTGCATATCTCCGGTCTGTGCTTCGGAGAACAATAGAAGCAGCAGCAAGTGCGGCTGCAGTTTCACCAGCAACATCAGAGCCTGGGTTGCTAGGAGAAACAGAATAAACAGTTCGAGGAGTGTCCATGTCCTCTGGTCTCTCCCAGCATTTGTGATCTGCATTTGGGTCACCCACCCCAACATATAGCTTCCCAGGAGTGGCAGTCGCGCATTTGTATAAGTAGTTTGTAGCCCAACGGATGGCAGCCCTTGCGTTATTCAACTCAGGCCCCATTCTACCTCCAAACTCCAGCGTCCCCCATGAAAGCATGGTTGTGGTGAAGGCCATTGGTAAGTTGAATTTTACATTGTCTCCTGCGTCATAGTAGCCTCCCTTTAAATTTACCTGTCACCATTCGGAGCAATGTTATTGTTAATTTGGTTTTTAAGCAATTAAAAATCATTACGACCCAATGCATGTAGATAGTTGTTAAAAATTAAGTAAAGAAAGTGTAACGTACACCAGCGAGAGAGCCGTCAAGAAGGCCAGAATGAGACCGCCAGGTGACGCGTTGATCTTTAGGGAGCCTTCCAGATCTTTGGCCTTCGAAGAACAAGATGGACTTGGTCAATGCATCTTTGTAGTTTTGCTTACCATCGACTGGCAAACTGCCTAAACACAAGCAGAACACAAACAAAGGCAATGAGAACAGGCGAACTAGGAAGTTACAAGAACCCATTCTCGCTGCCATTTTAGCTCAGCTTACTACTGAGAACTGTTATAATTAGTAATACTAACTCTTAATACTAATCTAGTATGATATAAGTTGAAGACTATGCTAGTGTTTATATAGTGGTTAGTAGAGTGAAGAATTGAATCGTGGGATTGCAATAAAAAAGGGGAGACTTCGGTTTATGGGATGCTTATACCTTAAATTAAGGCTTTAAGAGCAAGATTCGCTATTTGTTAGTTCTATCTATCCTTCAACTATCCAATTTTAACTGCTTGTTTACCAGTATCTCTATTTCCCCACGTCCGTCTTTACTGGGTTATGCTTCCTTTCTCTTTTCAGAATTTAATTATCAATATTACAATTGTAATTTTTGTGTGAGATGGTTGTGCCTTAACTCGTAAAATAAGGTAATTTTTATGATTAACTTGCAAATTGTGGGATATTATTCGGAAATGGAGTAATGTTTTTAGTTCTATATCATGGTATGAGACCTTAAAATGTTAGTACGAGTGCATGTTTTAGGGGTATGGCTTGGCTCGGGGTAGGGTCAATGACAAAGCACGGACATACCATCCAAATGTTGTACTTGTACTAAACACAACAACGTCGACACAAGTTTGTGTGGATTAATTGGTGTTCAATTTTTGATATACCAATTGGACAGGTACAAAGCAGAAGTGGTAAAACATTTTGATTAAATCATTGAACTGAGTTAAATTTTGCATTTTGCAATTTCTTTCATGTGTTTGGTGTGTGAGGGAGAATTATGAAATGTATGATTTGTATGAATACATGATATACATGTAGTCAGTGTTAATTGACTAGTGAGTCATAAGTCTCATAAAAACTAAACCCTTTGTGTAGAACTACCCTAAAGATAGGGTCATTTGTGAACAACTACCCATTTTTTTTTTTATTTGTTTAGAACTACCCACAAGTTTGAAAATATTTGGTTAGCACTACCCATTAATATTTTTCGTCCAATTAAGACGTTATCGGAGCTCACTTTTACTTTTGCCACCCAATTAACTATCCCAATTTGTATAAAGGTTTTAATTTACCTTAATTAACTTAATTAAGGTTTTAATCATAATTTATTTTAGGGTTCATGAGTGTAGTATTATTTGGGGATTTTAATTTCTAAGGTTTAGGGGTTTAATTGAATTGGGGTTTTTGCTTAATTTAGCATTAATTGACCATTGTAATTGAAAAAAGTAAAAAAATGGGTCAAAATAACGTTTTAATGGGACGAAAAACATTAGTGGGTAGTGTTACCTAAACATTTCCAAACTTGCGGGTAGTTCTAAACAAATAAAAAAAATGGGTAGTTGTTCAAGAATGACCCTATCTTTAGGTTAGTTCTACACAAAATTTCCTATTCCATGTGTTAAAATGCAATGAGATGTAGTTGTAAACTTCACTTTAACATGATTTTACGAGGTGTACCTAATTACCTTAATTATATGTATAAAATATTGTAGCAAAATAAATATGGTATATGCGTTTTCTGTTTTCTTTTAGTAGCAATATTAAAAATTTGTACAATTTATATTATCCTATTTGACCATTTTTGTTGATTTTCATGTTAGATAGAATATAGTCATGTGTGATTCTATTAGTTTATTTCATTTTATAGTTTCACAATATCAATTTTTGTTATATTTTACATATCTTTAATTAGAGATACAAAGGGTTAAAATTATGCATTGACAAGTATAAAAGTCAAAATGTTGCAATTAAAAGAGAACAAATGAAATATATATTTGTTATCTTCAACATAAACCTAATAACTTTTTTGTCTCATATATAGTGAATTACTGAATACATAAATGAATAGAATGGGTTCTAAAAGTAGTCTCCAATTGACCTAATAATTAAAGGTTCTCATTCATGCCTTGCAATTGAAACCTTCTCAAGCTTCTTTATTATAGTTCACTTCTCATTAGATTTTGTAAAAAGTTTTCGCGCAGCCAATACTATCTGTCTTGATTACGTTTGTGTTGATTCATGTACATGGACAAAATAGTACAATTGTACTCACCTACGACCTACCTCATGCTTAGATTAGGTCATCACCCAAATTTGTGTACCTCTCCTAGAAAATACCGGGATTTTTCAAAGTTGGGATTATTATCAATTACTCACAAATTCTGAATCTTTAAGTAGAGGAAAGTATTTTCTTTTTTATGTACTATGTTTGTTTTAAAATATATGCCTCAATTAAATCGGCACATTTGTTAATGTCAAACTTTGATCAATAGTATCTTTAATTATAAATAAGTATTCGATAACTACAATCGGTTGAACATTGATACGTATCCTTTAATTTTTTTTAGAAAAATTAAATACGTCATAACATTTGATTTTTATGTAAGTTGTGGTGACTAAACATGATGTATAATTATATACAATATATCATATATCCGTGATATACAAGACTTAGGGCCTGTTCTGATTTACTGAGCTGAACTGAACTGAACTGATTGGAGTTGAGCAGAACTGAACTGGATAGAGCTGAAACGAAGTGTTTATGAGAGAAGGATAGAAACTGAACTAAATTCGTTAGAGATGAGCTGAATTGAACTGAAATTAAGCTGAAGAGAACATGTCTTTATTACTATTTTGAAAGTGGAGCACAAGCACGACATAGTACATAATAATCGGGGGGTAATGGTTCACCTATTGTCTTGCCTATCAAAAACTCGAAAATTCAAAGGGCGTAGACTCAGGCTGGATGACTACCTAAACCTTATGAATTATGATGTGAAGCTAAATTAATGGAAAAGGGAGATTATATCATTAAAATTAACTCAAACAAAAAACAATCATTCGTGACGTGAAGAATGAAGAGATACGACAGTTTTGATTAGGTGAAAATATACTCAAATGTATTCAATTATTCATGCTATTAAATTCCAAATTAGTTCAGCTACGTTTGGAATTTGTTTTGATCTAGGAAGATAGGAGCCAGATTTGGTCCATGAATGCTATGTGTCTTTTCATGCACATAATTGTAGTACTACACAATTATTTTTTAAAAAAATTATAGTGAAATACGTACTAATTATTTTGACTACTACTATTAATTTATTACCCCGTGAAGAAAAAATTCTCAATGTATACAAGAAAACACATACTGACCTCTTGTTATATTGAAGATAATTTTTACTCAAAGAGGTTGTATTTTGAAAGAAAAAAACCCTAACAAAAGCAGCATTTATTGGTAGGAGATATTGCAATTTATTTTTATTTTTTTTTTAAAAAAACTATTATCATAAATATTTGGAAAAATTGATTTTTGCTACCTATCAAACACATCAAATTGAATTTTGCTACCTATCAAAACTTTTATTGAATTTTGCTACCTAATATATGCCCTTTTTTTAAATTTTGCTACCACTGAACGGAATCCGTTAAGGAATCCGTTAAGTGGGTCCATAACGACACGTGTCGTGTTATTATTGGCCAAAAAAATTAAATAAATAAATAAATAAAAAAATTTAAAAAAAATAAAAAGAAAAACCTAAACTACCCAGCCACCACCCCCTTCCCCCCCAACTCACCGCACCCCTCCCCAAAACCACCACCCGCGTCGCACCACCAGCCCCAACCCACCTGAACCCTCCCCCCTTTCCCGCAACCGCGTCGCCCCCAAAAACCACCAAAACTAAAACCGCTAAACCCAAAACCCAAAACCCTCGTCCCCAAAAACGGCCAAGAATCTGGCCTTAAAAGGCCGAAATCGGCCGGCTAAGGCCACTGAGCCCCAAAACCGTCCGATTTCGGCCATTTGTGGCCAGATTCGTGGCCGTGGTGGGATCTAGGGTTTTAGTTTTGGTGGTTTTTGGGGGCGACGCGGTTGCGGGAAAGGGAGGGGGAGGGGAAGGGTTCAGGTGGGTTGGGGCTGGTGGTGCGACGCGGGTGGTGGTTTCGGGGAGGGGTGCGGTGAGTTGGGGGGAAGGGGGTGGTGGCTGGGTAGTTTAGGTTTTTCTTTTTATTTTTTTTAAATTTTTTATTTATTTATTTTTTTAATTTTTTTGGCCAATAATAACACGACACGTGTCGTTATGGACCCACTTAACGGATTCCGTTCAGTGGTAGCAAAATTAAAAAAAAGGGCATATGTTAAGTAGCAAAATAAAATAAAAGTTTTGATAGGTAGCAAAATTCAATTTGATGTGTTTGATAGGTAGCAAAAATCAATTTTTCCTAAATATTTTAATGGTTTTTTTTAAGTGAACCAATGAAAAATTTATCGAACACTAATTATTTATATATATACTTCTTATTGACCATCGATTATAATTACTATGTCGAACATTTTTTAAAAAAACTTTTATAAAGTTTTGACTTCATTACAGGCTTACAATTGTAAAAGCTACTTGAAAAGTTACATCCAAATCGCACTTTAACCTGGAATGACATATCATTCATTTATTTATATAATTTGTAGAATTATTTGTGATGATAAGGAGAAAAACCACAACCAGACATAAACTCTCGTTATATCTATATAGATCACCAAATACATTACTTAGCTCACTTATTAGGAGTTTTAGGCAAGTGCCCAAGAAATAGGGGCAAGATCACCAAATTACCAACCCAAGATATAGTGCATGGCAATCTAGAAAATATAGAATCATGTGATGCAACTAAAAATGCGTAGTAAATAAAGAATTAAAAGTAGCAACACTAAGTCAGGCTTTAAGCAAAATAGTTAATTACTAGCAAGCGAGCTAGCTTTATGTTTAAGCACCAATATTCTTCAATTCCTCTGTAAAAGCTAACTTATCGATGATCGAGCTTATCCTCTCTTCACTCTTTGCATTAACTCCTTGAGTTTTACGGAGTCGCATGTTAATTTTAGTTATGTTGGGCTTAATATGTCTATGTGTGGTAAAGTTCGACTCTTGAATATGTACCCGTATTAAACCCGTGATTTGTAATATAGGCTATTTAGCCACAAATAAGTCTTTCATGCTAGCATTGTGTGGGTTATTACTTATTCCGTAAACTTGTACATAATTTGATAATACCTTTGTACTAGATTTTTGTATGGAAATTCTAAAAGGCTAGTGTGTAGAATGCTTCCTAGTAATGATTTTAGAATATTGTAGTATACTTTAGAAGGATATAACCATTTAGGTACTTAGCAAGGAGGCCTACTATAAATAAAGAACATCCTAAAAGAATTAAACATTAATATTGATCTCATATGAGGATTATTCGAGTTATTTGAGCTCCAAAACACAATTATGATGGAGTATAACATGCTTATTTTTTCGTATTTT